TTTCCACAATCCACGCAGTAGTTATTGTTGCGACACGAACCTTCAGTTCGTAATGTAAGAAATATTTAGAACACGCCCGTAATATTTGGAGCTGAAATGCGACTCCAACACCTCACCCCATCACTCTGAGTATAAAAGGGAGCAAACCAAACCAGAAAAAATCACTCAACATCTCACCCGCCAACCACCACTCTGGTGCTACACCAGAGAAACTCACTCTCGCTTGAAAGCGCCGAAACTTAACATAGGGTAACTAAGTGAACAATGGCTCGCCAAAATATGCCACTCAAACCTACCCCGCAAAACATCAAAATGGTAACCTTCGTGCCCGTGCGAAAGGCCCACATGCCCGTGACGATGCCGTGCGAAACCCGTGCGCGTTTTTGTCTACCGGCACCCTGAAAAGTTGTGTTCCTCTGTCAGGCTCAAGGTGTACTACCATTGCTCGGGCAGGCGCGACAATGATGGGGTAACGAGGAACGAAATTTGTGGTCACGAAACGAGGGGTTGGGCGAACCAACAAAAAGCTCGGTAGAAATCCCAGCCACGAAGTGGAGGTTGGGGATCGCCCCCACCAAACCCCCAAACCTAAAATGTGTCGCCTGCCAGCTTGGCGCGTGCCTGGCGACACAGCCAAAACAGAGACACCACCACCAACCCCTCTGCCAACTGATCGAACCCCCTATGAACCAGGAACCACACCACCAACACACATGCCGCCCAACTACAGCGTCTGCGGAGAAGGCCCAGCGCCCCAGGCCCTACGCCCTACGCCCTACTCGCACCGTCCCGCGCCCCTCCTCCCATCTCCGAAACTCCCAAGTTTCGGAGCGTCGCTGAATTGGATTCGAGAGGTGGTGAGAATTACAAGAAACACAGTTCCTTTTCTGGCGTACCGATATCTCTACGACATGAAGGTCAGCGTTCAGGGGCTTTCGGATCACAGGGCGACCTACCACACCAGAAATCCAGGGCTTGACCGAACGTTAAGTGTCACTCACCTGGTGCAGACGCGGGCGAATACTGTGACCCCGCAGCCCTACAATACAACAGGCACGCAAAAAAAAAAACCCGAGGACTTCTGGTGGCCGAAATACGGAAAATCATCTTCAGCGAAAGGGCACGAAGCTCCGAAACCATACTCGCGAGGACGAGAAATCCCTGACAGCCTACTCTATTACTTAGCGGCGAACTGGACACGTAATTGACCCATCCCAAAAATTAGGGTGGCAAAATGATACCCCCAAGACTGCCGCAGGTAACCTGAGGGTTTCGCGCTGGGGGGTAACCCTGGGGCTTCCGACTGAGTGACCTCGGGGAAACCGACGATCAAAATGCCTTTCGATGTGACCCGTGGGAAACCCACGAAGTCACACCTTTCCGAAACATTCGGGTTACCCTCAGGTGTCATCAGGGCTAGGTGGGGGGAACGTGAGGGCATCCCTTTTCCGAGGCGCGTCCTTGATACAAGCCAGTCGATACGCGTACAGTAACTTATAGTACACCTGAAAAGTAATTAAATGCTCTCATGAAAAAATTATATTGGTATATTCCATTCGTGCTCTTCTCCAATGCTCATTTGCCAATAGCAGAATCGACAGATTTTACAGGTTTACAGCCAAAAAATATTGCTAATACATACAGATTTTAGTCAACAGGTTTACAACATTTCAGTATTCAAAATTCCGACTTGTTATTGATAATACATACACCACAAATATTTCGGACTGGAACGAATGGTTCGTAACTCCGTGGAGGTGACAATCACCAAACTTAGTACACAGTAAGGATGGAAAGAGAGCAATAAGCAAAACTACGCAAAAAGAAATAAGACAGGGAAAGGAAAAATAAACAAAACTAGTTTACGCTTGTTACAGTTAGGCAGTCAGAGCCCGGACCTGAGAAAAGCTTCACAAAAAGAGTGTTGGCGGGACACAACCCGAACCTCTCTCTGTACAGCTCCGGCAGGATAACAGACATCGCAAGTTGGCACGGCTGCTGTGATGAAACAAGACGAAAAAACAGGCATACACAGGTATGCAATGGCAAACCGCGAAGATGTGCCTTACCCTTCATCGTAAATGGCAGTGAGCCACTGTCGAAAACGCGACTAGTATCAGCCAAATGAATCACGTGCCATCACCTGAACGACAGAGGTCCAAATTTATGAAAGAACCTTTGCCTTCGTCCTGGAAAAACGAAAAGCGGGAATAAGACACGGTTTGAAGTGACAAAACGCCATAACACGAATGCCAACGTCCGACCAAAGACCATGCAAGAATGGGAGTTGTGACCGGGACAAAACCACAAACGGAGAATCAAACATATGAACCAGACTCGGGTACGGGTCGACGCGCAGAGTTGTACCTAGGGTATACGCACAGGTACGACATCGATAAGCTGACCGTCCGAGGGCCGCGGGCTTGGGTATCTGAGAGAAACAAAGAAGATAGTATAGCGTTAATTCACGAATTGTGACAGGAGGGGAGCGGCTAATTGGAGCATGAAAAGCAGGGATGCTAACACGAAGTGACGCGTTCACCCTAACCTGGTCGCCGTGCCTGATGTGAACGGTGCATCGCTAAGGAAGAAAGGTGGAAACTGGCGTGAGAAACAATGAATGGAAGGACTGAGGATTGAGTTCAGTTGAAGTCCAGTGAGAGCAGCCAGATTAGCCCAACGGAGAACTTGGGTTTGGAGTCGTGTTCCGAGATTCGAGTCTGTGTGTTCGTTGCGTAGCGCTGTACGTTGAACACCATATGTTGCGTGCATATTGAGCCGATATTTTGTAACAAGGCCTTAGATTTCGACTTTCAGACTGATCATTGTCGTCTGAAATCGCCTAGCAGAACGCACCCCACCTTCGTTCTGTCCTTACCAGACTTGTGATTTCGCATGTGTTGGCAGCCGAAGAAAAGGAGAAAACGATGGTGTGCTCTCATTGGTCAGCTGTTGGAAGACCGTACCCATCAATATCTTACGCGTAAAAGCGGCCCCGTCTAGAGTCATACAAGTTTGATAATTTATGTCTAACTAGTTTTCCACTTCGCTGTACACGCGTGTATGCAATTGGCGGCACAACTCCAGGCCTGGGCTTCGCACCTTGCTATTGGCCAGCACGAACTGATGGTTTGAGTTCAAAATCAGCTTGGTAAGCAGATCCTGATTGGCTGTCAAGTTTCGTTGCGAGGGGTAGCGAATTATTTTGCCTATGTAACAGCTTCGCCTTGCTCACAGGTTTCTCCTGGCACTCTTGGGGGGAACAATGGGGCATCCTGGCGTAGGACACCTGTGGGTATCCCTCGCCCCCAAGGCCACTTTGCCTTCGCAGAATTTTGGGATGCCCTCCGCGAGGTCAGGCGCACGTGGGAGGGGAGAGAGGGCAGCGCGTGGAGTACGCCGCACAAAGAACGCATAGCGTGGGAAGGTAAGTAGTACCATGGCGCAAAGCAACGACCATAAAACGCGGCGAGCATGAATCCGTTCCGCATCCGTTTTGCCATCTCACCTCCCTCTCATTCTCCCCTGACTCCCTTCCGCCCCTATTGTGCTATCTCACCTCCCTCCCTTTCTCCCTTGACTCCGTTCCGCCCCTATTGTGCCATCTCACCTCCCTCCTTTTCTCCCTTGACTCTGTTCTGCTCCAGTTTTGCCATCCCACCTTGTGCTCTCTTTCTGTATGACTCCGTTCCGCCCCTATTGTGCCATCTCACCTCCCTCCCTTTCTCCCTTGACTCTGTTCTGCTCCAGTTTTGCCATCCCACCTTGTGCTCTCTTTCTGTATGACTCCGTTCCGCCCCTATTGTGCCATCTCACCTCCCTCGCTTTCTCCCCTGACTCCCTTCCGCCCCTGTCTTGTCATCTCACCTCCCTCCCTTTCTCCCCTCACTCCCTTCCGCCCCTGTCTTGCCATCTCACCTCCCACCCTTTCTCCCATAACTCCCATCCGCCCCTGTCTTGCCATCTCACCTCCCTCCCTTTCTCCCCTGACTCCCTTCCGCCCCTGTCTTCTCATCTCACCTCCCTCCCTTTCTCCATGACTCCGTTCCGCCTCTGTTTTGCCATCTCACCTCCCACCCTTTCTCCCCTGACTCCAATCCGCCCCTGTCTTGCCGTCTCACCTCCCTCGCGTCCTCCCCTGACTCCCTTCCGCCCCTGTCTTGCCATCTCACCTCCCTCCCTTTCTCCCTGACTCCGTTCCGGCTCTGTTTTGCCATCTCACCTCCCACCCGTTCTAGCCCGACTATGTTCCGCCCCTGTCTTGCCACCTCACCTCCCTACCTTTCTCCCCTGACTCCCTTCCGCCCCTGTCTTCTCATCTCACCTCCCTCCCTTTCTCCATGACTCCGTTCCGCCTCTGTTTTGCCATCTCACCTCCCACCCTTTCACTCCTGACTCGGTTCCGCCACTGTCTTGCCATCTCACCTCCCTCCCCGCCCTCCATAGGTGGTGAATCATGCCCTTGCGGTCCATCACTAACTCCCACATCACCGTCGACAATGCCAGCCACCTCGTCCGCCACCTCATCCGCTTCAATATGCACAAACCCCCGTTCTGTGGTAGCCTTTGCTGCTGCCCCACCTGATGAACCTTCGTTCCCGTTCACAAGCCCCCGCCAACGATCCAACACTGAATCCACCCAACCCCAATCCATTTTCTCAAGCACCCGATCTTTCTTCCCCCGCTACACGCGTGTGGCCTTCCTGATGTGAACCTTCCACTCTCTGACAACACGGTTACACGAGTGGTTCCAATGAAGCACAGAGAGTGCCACACGCGCCTCCATGCTAGCGAGTAGAGAGAGTCGTTTTGGTGCGTACTTGGTAATCAAACTATGGAATGACTCGTTGACCCAGTTGCTTGCACCATGGACATATGGGTGCTCAGCACCACAGTGCGCGGCGAGCCACTTCCTGAATGCCTTGTGGGTCTTTGAATTTGGCTTATAGAGCGTGCTCTCGAAACCCCAATGCTCGGCCACACAACGTGGTGCAGGTCCCTCTCGATGGCAATGTCCATGAATGCCCGCCCAATGCTCTGCACACGTGGCGATCTCCCTAGCTACTTCCTGTGGCGTCATCAGTCGTCCTGCCTTTTGTCGAGCGGCGCATCGTAACATTACGTGGTGGAAGTGTATGGTAAAATGTTGTGCCACGGATACATCCTCCCACACCAGCCGAACCCCGTCTTCGCTGTAGCAATCCCCCTCATCGGGCCTACTCCGCTTGCCGGACCGCCTCTCCACCCAACGTGTGGTTCGGGGCGCTCGGTCATCGCGTTGGCTGCTCATAGATGCCACAACAACCTCCTCTGCAGCGCTCGCACCATTGTTGAGTGCCGGGGTCATTGCTTGTTGTGCGTTCCCTGAGACACCCACCCGTTGGGGGAAACAGGGTGGGACAATTGGGGGTTGTAGTTATGCCGCTCATATTTGACATGTGCACTATACAACCATAACGACAAATAGAATATCGCGTACCTGCTTGACACTCCGCGTCTTCGGTCGCATCACCATACTCATACTCGATTGCCATGAGTGCCTCCGCGGTCTCGTGAACGTAGTCGGCACACATGCCCCTATCAACATGCGGACGCGCTGCGTCTGGATCAAAGTCGAAGAGCCGGTTCACGTCCTCCCACTGAATCCCCAACACCTCGTCCAATCCATCCTCCATATCTGCCTCCTCTAATCCCTCCCCACAACCCGCGACGTTCCCAAGCTCCTCCTCTCCCTCGCTCACATCCACGATGGGCACTGGCAGGGCATTCTCCTTGTCCCCCACATTCTCATCACCGCAACGACGCTTGCTTGACGAGGCCTCACCGGCCTTTCTCCTAACCTTTTGGACTTTGCGCAACTCTTCGTACGCATGCTTCGGTGGGCACTTTGCTTTTGGATCAAATTGGAACCTTTTCAGCTTTGCACAAACCGCCCTAATCAATGTCTTCTTTTGGGAGTTCTTGGTTACTCGAGCACCCCCTCCCCCGCGGTCGGCCAGCCAATTCCACAGTTCTTCTGGTGGTACCAGCCACAACTCGGAACATGACGTAGCTTCCGAGACTCTCATGGCACTCCTCTGCGCGTCCACCAAATCCTTGACAAACAACTTGGCGAGTGCTCTCCCCTTGTGCCACACGTCCATTTGATGATTTATCCCTCTCCCCACGAGAGCCCTTTTAAAAGAACTTCCATCGTCTGAAATAATGCCGGTCACCTTGAAGCCCCATTCTTTCAGCTTGTCAAGACCCCTCACAGAAGCAATCCCCTCCAAAGCAGTTGAGGACACCCCTTCTGTCTTTTTGCACACGGTGACACACAACAAAACCTTGCGTGTCCGTGGATCCATGAAGGTGACAGTGCACCATCGTCCTTCTCTCGCCTGTGACCAGCGTCCGTCAACACATATGTACTCCTCATGCAATTCCAACTCTTCCCTTCGCCTCCGCATGTTATTCCTAACGTATGACATGCAATCTTCCCCTTGGAGTATCATAGCCTCCCACAAACCATAGGGTCGGCGCATGTAGCGGTAAAATGTCTCTTGACCAATCTCTTTAATACCCAACGTGCGACTTACCTCTGTCATATGCTGGAAACCTAGGCCAGCTAGCGCAAAGGCACCCAAGAAACGTAGAAACAAAAGCGAAGACTTCGGTCCTTGCTTGTTTTTACTCTTTGTGATCTTGCCCCGTTCGGTAGACCAAAACTCCTTCACCTTTGAGCACGAATCACAGACCCACAGGACTCCAAAGCACGCCCATTTGACCTTGCATGATTGCAGCACCATCCTGCCCCTGCATGCCGCCACCTGACAGCATAGCAACCCCATGCCCAAAAAGAACTGAATGAGTTCCAGAGGGTCCAGAAGGCATACCGCCCCACGTTTCAAAGAGGTGAGACTAGTCGCAGGAGGCCATGCGCAGCTGGATCCCTTCCTCCTTGTTGTGCATCTAGCATCTGCAGGGGCGCTGCAGTAAAGACACCAGGGGGGGGTCAAATGTGAGACGCGGTTCCCAATATGCATTGCTGTTGCTGTACATGAAAGGCCTAGCAAACACGAATGGCGGGTCGCGTCACGCGCGGAGAGGACTTGGTGTACCTAGTGTGAGCCCCTCGAGTGCCAGTCTGGGGCACCTCTGACCCCTCCGCACCCTGCTCGTGCGTCGCCACGGGTGATTCTCCCACCCCATGGTGGCGCTCTTCAACGGTATGCCCACCCGTTGCCATGCCATCCCTTTCCACGCCCTCATCCTCACCCACGTCCCAGCCACCCACGGGGGGTGACCCCCCATGTTCCCTTATTCCGTTACCCCCCCTCGTCGGTGGGGCAGCCTCTTTGTTCTCCCCTCTCCACCTCCCCCTCATTTGGCAGTGCCTCTGCACGTTCCCCCCCTTCCCCCACAGTCCCTACATGGCCTGCCTCTTCACCTCCCACAGCCCCCAGCACAGTGCCTCCAGCGTTCCCAACCCCATCCCCTCCCTCGCTCGTCTGTCCCGCCGCCGTGTCTTGGTTGCGGACTGCAATGTGGGACGGGGAGGACAATGAAAGTAGGGCCCCACGTTTGGGGCTGGTCATTGGCTGGAATTTCTTTACAAGGCAGAAGATGGTCTACAATCATACAACATCTTCTCTATGTTGCACTGACTGCAAATAGCAACATGTGGTCTACCTGACTCGAGTAGCTCGGCGTAGGCCGGACCAGTTCGTGGTCCGCCGTGGGCAAACCCCGTGTCCGGAGCTAGCTGCTTCTTTTCATTCACATGAAACGTATCGATATTGTACTCAAAGCCAGACGCCAAAGCTGGATCCCTGTCCAACAGCTCTTTGAGGGTAACTTGCTCCCCCCCCTGCTTCTTCCAGAATTGCTGCTCTTGAGCCTTCAGACGGAGTTCCGCTTGCTTCTTCACAGTATCTCCCCTGCCCCCTGCCACACATGCGGTGAGGTACATTCCTTTCATGGGAGATGGTCCGTTTACCCCCGAATCTGTGGGCTAGTTTCGACAATTGCCCCACTCTGGCAACTTTATGGCCGAGAGTACGTACCGGCCTTTTCAGCAGCGGCGAAAAGCTTGTCCACGGCATCAAATGCAGAAGCCGACAATACATGTAGCACGTCATTTATTGATGCTTCGCGCCCGGTGAGTGCTGTCAAGCCACATCTCATGATGGCTAGTGGAAGGAGCATGTGCCTGCCGGGCGACACCATCTTTTGCTTGTACCCATCCATGATGCTCTTCAAGTAGCCACACATCACGGCTCCCTCATTCTGCCCGTCCTCCAGTCCCCTTTGCACGGCGCTGTGCAAGCATAAGACAATTTGTGTGGGGTTTTGGAGGGGAGGTATACGCATTTGATCAATAGCCGGTTTGAGGATAGCAGGTATCAACCCTGTGTTCACATGCATTATGTTACCCAACCCCTGTCGAGGATGGTTCTGGCACCACACGCACCTAGATTCCATTGGTGCGGGATTCTCTTCTAGTCCCTGTTTGCAGATTCCCGACTCGTTTGGATCCAGCCCACCTGTAGAGGGAGCACGCGACATGGGCAAGACGAGATGTCATTAGGGACACTACTCAGAATATGTCGCGTGATGTCCTTCACAGGGGCCCGCAACGTCTAGTTGTCGAGTTCGGGCCAAGCTCTATGCAGGACTAGACTTGCCAAAGACTAAGGCGGCTATGGCAATTGGTATAGTCAATACAGTTTTTTAGCGTTGCAGCCCTTGTTGGAGTACGCACAGTTTTTGTGTGCTACAGCCAGGGATGTCGATGAAGAAAAGGAGTTACAGCCATCCTTGTAGTCACTGCATCTTTTGAGTGCTACGACCATTGCTGTACTGAATACGGCTGTAATGAGTCGATATTTGAGTCGACTAAAAAATCGACCCATTGCACACGGTTTATTCACATCATCTTTTGGGTGCTAAGGCCAGAGCTGTATTGAATACGGCCTTGCAGTGTTAAAGCTCAAGCTGTAGTCACCATATTCTTGGAGTGTTACGGCCATTGCTGTAGTCCGCTTTGCTATGACTGTTACAGCCACAGCTGCAGTCAATACAGTTTTTGTGTGATACAGCCATTGCTGTAGTCAATCCAGTTGGTGAGTGTTACTACCATTGCTGTGGTAAATACAGTTTCTGAATGCTACAGCCAGTGCTCTAGCCAATACAGTTCTTGGGTGTTACATCAATACTTGTAGGCACTAAAGCTTTTGAGAGCTACAGCTGTTGCTGCAGTGACTACAGATTTATAATGCTACTGCCATTGCTGTGGTCAAAGGTTGTCACTATATTGTTGGAGTGCTACGGCCATTGCTGTAGTCCTCTTCGCTATGAATGTTACCGCCATAGCGGCAGTCAACACAGTTTTTGAGGGTTGCAGCCGTTGCTGTGGTCAATACAGTCTTTGTGTGTTACAGACATTGCTGTAGTCAATACAGTGTTTTTGTGGTACTGCCTTAGCTGCCTCCCTTGCAATGTTTTAGTGTTACTATGTAGCTGTAGTCACTGCAGCTTTTGATGTACTGCAGCGTGTGATGTAGTCTGTACAGTTTTCAGGTGCTGCAGCCATAGCTATGGTCAATTCAGAGTATTACAGCCCTAGCTGTAGTCACCACAGTTTATTAGTGTTACAGCCCTAGCTGTAGTCACCATATTTCTGGAGTTTTGCGGCCATTGTTGTAGAACTCTTTGGTTTGACTGTTACAGCCATAGCTGCAGTCAATACAGTGTTTGAGGGTTGCAGCCTCTGCTGAAGTTAAAACTGTCTCTGTGTGTTGCAGCCATTGCTGTAGTCAATCCAGTTGGTGAGTGGTACTACCATTGCTGTGATCAATACGGTTTTTGAGTGCCACAGCCAGTGCTGTAGACAATACAGTTCTCGGGTGTTACAGCAATACCCGTAGTCACTGTAGCTTTACAGAGCTACAGCTGTAGCTGCAGTGACTACAGATTTATAATGCTACTGCCATTGCTGTGGTCAAAGGTTGTCACTATATTGTTGGAGTGCTACGGCCATTGCTGTAGTCCTCTTTGGTATGACTGTTACCACCATAGCGGCAGTAAATACAGTTTTTGAGGGTTGCAGCCGTTGCTGTACTCAATACAGTCTTTGTGTGATGCAGCCATTGCTGTAGTCAATCCAGTTGGTGAGTGTTACTACCATTGCTGTGATCAATACGGTTGTTGAGTGCCTCAGCCAGTGCTGTAGCCAATACAGTTCTCGGGTGTTACAGCAATACCCGTAGTCACTCTAGCTTTTGAGAGCTACAGCTGTAGCTGCAGTGACTACAGATTTGTAACGCTACTGCCATTGCTGTGGTCAAAGGTTGTCACTATATTGTTGGAGTGCTACGGCCATTGCTGTAGTCCTCTTTGCGATGACTGTTACCGCCATAGCGGCAGTCAACACAGTTTTTGAGGGTTGCAGCCGTTGCTGTAGTCAATCCAGTTGGTGAGTGTTACTACCATTGATGTGATCAATACGGTTTTTGAGTCCTACAGCCAGTGCTCTAGCCAATACACTTCTTGGGTCTTACATCAATACCCGTTGTCACTATAGCTATTGAGAGCTACAGCTGTAGCTGCAGTGACAACAGTTTTATAATGCTACTGCCATTGCTGTGGTGAAAGGTTGTCACCATATTTTTGGAGTCCTACGGCCATTGCTGTAGTCCTCTTTGCTAGGATTGTTACCGCCATAGCTGCAGTCATTACTGGTTTTGAGGGTTGCAGCCGTTGCTGTAGTCAATACAGTCTTTGTGTGTTCCAGCTATTGCTGTAGTCAATACAGTGGTTTTGTGGTACTGCCTTAGATGTAGTCAATGCAACTTTTCAGTGTTACTATGTAGCTGTAGTCACCGCAGCTTTTGATGCAGTACAGCATGTGATGTAGTCTGTACAGTTTTCAGGTGCTGCAGCCATAGCTATGGTCAATACTGATGTTCAGTGTTACAGCCCTAGCTGTAGTCACCACAGTTTATTAGCGTTACAGATATAGCTGTAGTCACCACAGTTTATTAGTGTTACAGCTCTAGCTGTAGTCACCATATTTCTGGAGTGTTACGGCCATTGTTTTAGTCCTCTTTGCTTTGACTGTTACAGCCGTAGCTGCAGTCAATACAGTTTTTGAGGGTTGCAGCCGTTGCTTTGATCAAAACTGTCTTTGTGTGTTACAGCCATTGCTGTAGTCAATACAGTTGGTGAGTGTTTCTACCATTGCTGAGGTCAATACGGTTTTTGAGTGCTACAGCCAGTGCTGAAGCCAATACAGTTCTCGAGTGTTACAGCAATTCCCGTAGTCACTAAAGCTTTTGAGGGCTACAGCTGTAGCTGTAGTGACTACAGCTATATAGTGCTACTGCCATTGCTGTAGTCAAAGATTGTCACAATATTTTTGGAGTGTTACGGCCGTTGCTTTAGTCCTCTAAGCTTTGAGTATTACAGCCATAGGTGTAGTCATTACAGCTTTTGAGTGCTCCAGCCGTTGCCCTAGTAACTGCCTTTGTGTGCTATGGCCATTGTCTCTGTGCACGACGGACATTGCGGTAGTCAATGCAGGGTGGGGTTGCATAGGGAAGGGATGCATAGAGTGGGCATGCATAGTGGGGGTTTGCATAAGTGGGGGATGCAGACGGGGGTGATACATCAGGGGGGGATGCATAGTGGGGATGCATAGGGGGAGGGGTGCATGGGGGGGGTAGTGGCGCAGCGGCGTACGGAGCGACTGGCGCAACGGTGTGGGGTGTCCCCTCCTAGGCGGCGTGGGCTGTGAGTGGCACAGCTGTGTGGGGAGTGTGAGGCTGGGCGGCGCGGGGAGTGAGTGGCTCAGCTGCGAGGGGAGTGTGTGATTGGGCGGCGTTGGGAGTGAGTGGCCCCTAGTCACGGGTTGTGAGTGGCGCAGCTGCGTCCGTGTGAGTGCCGCAGCTGCGTGGGGAGTGAGTGGCGCAGGTGAGAGGAGAGTGTGTGGCTGGGCGGCGTGGGGAGCGTGTGGTACAGCTGCGGGGGGTGTGAGTGGCGCAGCTGCGTGGAGGTGTGTGGCTGGGCGGAGTGGGGGGTGAGTGGTGCACAACGCGAGGGGTGTGTGTGGCGTAGCTGCATGGGGAGTGAGTGGCGCAGCTGCGCGGGGAGTAAGGACACTGAGCTGTGTGGGGAGTGTGCGGCTAGACGGCGTGGGGAGTGAGTGGCGCACACTCGCGATGCGGGAGTGGCGCAGCTGCAAGGGGAGCGAGTGGCGCAGCTGCGTGGGGAGCGTGCGGCGCAGCTGCGTGGGGAGTGGCGTAGCTATGTAGGGAGGTGAGTGGCACAGCCACATAAGGTGGGGAGTTGCGTTGCACGGTGAGTTGCGCTGCGCAGTGGGGAGTGCATGGCGCGGCGATGGTGGTGAGTGCGTGGCGCGGCGTCGTGGGCGGTGCGTGGCGTGGCGTCGTGGGCAGTGCATGGCGCGGCATCGTAGACAGTGCGTGGCGCGGCGTCGTGGGCAGTGCGTGGCGACGATTCGTAGGCCGCGCGGGGCGCAGAGGCCCATGCAGGGTATGGCCCCATAGCATAGGGAGTTGGTGGCGCGAAATGGGGAGTGGGGGAGTTGGCATGGGGAGTGGGGCACCAGATATGGGGTATGGGGAGTAAGTTGCGAAAAGGGGGGTGGGGAGTGAGCCGCGTCTCAAGGAAGGAGGGGTGAGTCGCAAATCGTCCCGTGGGGTGTTTGTGGCAGCTCGTGGCAAGAGGCGCGCGGCGCTGATGTGTGAGGCGGTGCGTGCGCACCTTGTTTGTTTGCGCAGATCACGCGCCGTAGTCCCTTTCTACAAGGCGTCGTCCTTCGCTGCCCTTGCCACAGTGACTGGGATGCTATTCTCAGGCACACTACCTTGTGCCTGCTCCCCAGAGTCGCTAACCCCATCCTGGCTACGTCTGCTACGGTGGGTGGACAGTGTTTCGATTTTCGTCTGTCTCATATTTCTGCAGTGAGTAATACCTTTGGTTGAGACGGGGGGTGAACAATGTGCAAGAGCGTATGTTTCGTTGTCGCACGGCAGGTTTGCGATCACTGTGGTGTGGCATGGGTGTCGCATGGGGGTTTCCCGAACCTTTTTGCTTTGTGGCCAATCAGGGGCACGTACACCCCAAACCAACCAAAGTTGCGACTCCCACCCTTGTTACCCTATTACGCAAGAGTATTACCTTTTCTCAACACTGGAAATATGAGAGGGGGGCTTTAAACCCCTATTTGGGCTGCGGTTTCTCCAATATCTGCTGCTTCTGCCTCTGCGGTTTCTCCAGTATTTGCTTCGTGATCGTCCCAAAACAATGGAGTTTCGCGACTAGTCCGCTAACACTTCTCTTCACCACCTTTTACTGAATGATGTTGTGGTGTTTGTTGCGCGAATCGTAAATTGCACGATGGTCGCGCGTTTCGCCGCCGGCCAGTCGCGTCTCAGCTCCTCGTCCACTTGAGCAGTAGGGGAACGAAATTA